CAGAAATTTGGCCCCGGGCCAGGCCGCACCAAATGCGCCGCTAATCGCGTGCTCTCGAGCTGCCCTTCTTGTTTACGGACCTTCAAAGTTTGCGGCGGGATCGCCCGAACAATTACCCAGGGTATCGTGTCCAAACTCTATTTTGTTGCAAATGGGCTTTTCGCATTATGCGTGCTTGAAAGCAAAGTTTATTAGCCGCGCACTATCAGAATTTTTGACTGACTCTTCTCGGAATTTATTTTGTGATTAATAGTCATATTTTTTTGCATTTATTTTTCTTGGATGAACTGTGTGTGTTTTATTATTATCATGATTGTTTAATACAAACCGGATTGATAAAAAATATAAGTAATTAATTTATTTGTATTTTTAAAATTATTATTATAAATTTGAAATTTTTTATTGAAGTTTCTCCCTAACGACTCCCAATATTAAAAACATTCTAACAATTTTTATTAGCTGGAATAAAAAATTTTCGTTGGTTAATTTAATTAAATGAGCTATGCATGAATTGAGTTGCAAATCGTGCTTTTGAGTTTTTTTTTTTTTTTAACTTACTGGACCATCTAATATTTGTTTTCAATTTTATTACGGTTGGATTAACAATATTAATAATGAAGTTATTTTAAAGAACCACTTTCGATTGCACGCCAAAATATCTTAAATATTTTGTGAATAAGCGAGCTTTATATTGAGAGGCATTGAGCAAAAGAGGCTGGATTTTTTCAATTCTACGGAACCGAGGACAGAACGCAGATAAGACATTTTTTAAATTTAATTGATCCGATTTTATGATTCTTTTTATTGAAATTCTTTTGGCGAATTTCGAGTGATGGATTTTCAATTCTGAATGATAATTACTTCACTCAATACCTTGTAATAGAGCACGCTCAGTCATCATTGAAAATATTGTATAATGCGTGCAGCTTCTGAATAGCCTAGCCGAGCACAATCAATCATCCTTCGCGACACTCAGAGTCGTTACAGCAGCGGATAACTCTTTTCTCCTATAATGACACAGAAATCGACTCTGTGCACAAATAGAAATAGCGAGTGCTGCCATTCAAGTCTCACACGGTGAATAATGCATTGGATGAGAGAAAATCGAGCTCGCAGCCTTTTTACGCCGCTAGACTCATAATTGAGCCGTCTCGAGCACACGTGCCGAGCCCTCGCCGAGTTTGTTAAATTGCAAAATGCATCTGGGTTTCTATATTAAGCACACGCCGACAGGTATAAATGATAAGCTCGATTCAATTTGCATCCCCAGTAATGCAAATTGAATCTGATAATGTATTCAAATTTGCATTGCACGCGCTTCTATTTTATGCGAAATAGCAAATTAATGTGTAACATGAGGGTAATAACGTGCCTTGGAATTTATTATCTCAGCGTTATATCACAAAAGAGTTATTAAGGTCTTGACTTAGCATATAGAGGGAAATGAGGTTTTTTATTACAATTTTATAATTGTAATAAGTATAGTAGATTATTATAATAATATTATTGCTTCATAATCCAGGAATGACAGAAAAGTCTTAAAAGAAATCATCATTAGTTGTTGAAATTCTATTAGTAAACACAGATCTGTATACCATTTTATTTATTTCCATTAAAATAGAAAAAAAAAATAAAATAAAAAATAGGTATTAACTTATATATTATAATAAATTACTAAGAAATGCAAAAATATTCAAAAAATTATTTTTATATGGTATAATATAAGTTTTTAATTAGGGTATTTTTCCCATACAAAGATTTTAATTATAATTACATACATGGGTGCGCTCAACAATTTTGCGCTCGCGCTCGCGCTCGCGATCACTGGCAACAGTGCGCTCGCGCTCTGCGCTCGCGATCAAGATTTTGAAAATGTTGCGCTCGCGCTCTGCGCTCGCGCTCAAATTTTTAACAAGTCTTGCGCTCACGCGTTGCGCTCAAAAATATTTTTATCCGAGGAAAAAGTGCGACTTTTTAGACAATTTTTTAATATAACAAAAAATACATCGGCAATTGGAAATGATAAAGTTGAAGTTAAATCACCAAAATTGGGATCAGTTTTAAGTTTTTGGTATAAAAACACTGTTTTTCATTACAATTTTTGATCAAATTCGGGAATTTTTACTCTTGGTTTGAGCGCAAAATGAGCGCAATTGAGCGCTGCGCTCAGCGACCAATGCGCTCGCGCTCTGCGCTCGCGCTCACGATTTTGAAAATCGTGCGATCGCGCTCTGCGCTCGCGCTCATGAGCGCAGAGCGCGAGCGCAGATCGCAGAGCGCAAAGTGCGCTCTGCCCATGTATGTATAATTATTAGTGTTGTTTCAAAAAATCATTATTTTAAAGATTTAGTAAGCTCAGTCTATTATAATAAGTCAACTCACTTTAATTGGTAATTGCAAACCAAATATTGCTGCAATTTTTTATCACAAATAAACAGAATTATAATTTTGGAAAAATATTATTTAAATAATGTTTCACCCGATATGCATGTCATGGTTTTCACTCTGTGCTGTGCCAAAATAAAAAGTACCACGCGAGTGCTCAAGAGAATTGCGCGTGTAAAAAATGTAACCAGCAGATGGACACTTATCATTTCCTCAAATGCACAAAAAATGATATGTCTCTCATGGAAGCTGCAAAAGTTAAATGGAAAAAAAATGATGTTTTGGCCTTCTTAATGTTTATTATCATTTATTTGATGTAACCATTGGCGTTCAATAAACACATACATACAAATAAAGTGTCACAGCTTTAACTTAACTTAATAGCACATCTAAAGTATTCAAACTACATTAAATTGTTCAGCATAAAACTCTAAATTCAAAGCCAGTGCTGATCCCATTGTTTGGATTTTCACCCTTTTATCCCCCTGGAGATTTAAATCAAGTGTTTATCATGGAACGAATCGCTGGTGGGCTTTCTCTCGTCGGTCTTAAGTCTCGGCGGATTAAAAGATTATCACGTGCGGCGCATCTAGATTTGCGAGGCCGGCAGGAGTGACACATTACGGTATTGGAGTCTTTGCCGCATTCACCCCCGCGTGAATCTGCTGATGAGCAGCCGCTCGTCGAGTGCTAAAACGCACCCTGCTATTTTCTTAATCACTCGGCGACGCCCACGCTTGCTCATTTGCTTTATAAGCGCTGCGGGGCTGCTGCCGTGTCTCTTATTTACTTTCGACTCCGTGACCTTTGCCATCTGAAAATAAAAATAAACAAACACAGAAAGAGGACCACCGTGACTGCCATTGGCACGTGAAAAATAAGCAAGCGACATCTTCAGCACAAAGAGCACGAAACGCGCTTTGGCATTTTTTTTTATCCGCATGGTGTGGTTAAATTTTGCAAAAGAAAAATAAATAGAAATATATATGAACTTCTAAAAATCCCGCTTTTCTGTATCTTAAAAAAATTGGAAGATTTAAATTTTCCTCACAATCTCCAGAAATAAAATAATAATTTAAGTTTCATTTTTATCTCCACCTACGCGCGATACTAAATTTTTATAAAGCAATCAGAATATTTATAAATTTCACACAAAAATCATGAAATCACTTTAGCTCTCTAATTGTGTTTTTCCATCTTTTCAATTAAAATTTACTGTCATTTAAAAATAAAATTCCCTTTTTATAAAAATAAGATGAATATTTTCGTCAAGTGTAATTTTGCACTTTCTAGATTCTAGAATTGAAAAGTCAATTTCCCCGAGTTAAGCAATCAATGCGCGGTGAAGTCCACTTGAGACTTTGCATTTAGAGAGGTCGCAGAAAGGGCAGCGCACACAAGAAGATGCAGTTGGCTCGAGGCGTTGATGCATCTCTGGTGATCAAAATTGCAAATTCGCGCGCAATCAGGTCAGGCGATTTGAATTTAATTTAGACGTGTCTGTTTCAGAATAAATCACCGTAGAGCAATTATTGGCCACGGAGCTGTCGATAACACCTCATTAGCCGCCACCAAGGGAGAGACGCGTGCGGTGCAGAAAAAAGATCGACCGCCCGGCTCGAGATTTATTTACCGCTCCGTCTTTTCATCTCACTCTGACTGAGAAAATAAATAAAAGCGAAAGGGGATGCAGAGATTAGAAAGAGCAAAAAGCGGCGGAGACTCCGCGCTTTTTCCGAGAAAACTAATGAGGTGCGGTTTAATTAAATGCTTTCGGTGCGGAGCAAATCTGAAGAGTGTATTTTAGTGACTGAAGAGATTTTTTAGCGAGAGTGAGTCCTGCACAAGCGATGAGATTGATGAGGGCGCGCACTGATTGATAAAATGGTGCGAGAAATCAATTCGAAGTGAGACATAATGAAACAAAGTTGTAGTTCTGCTTCAATGAACGCAGAATAAAAACAATCAAAGCTCAAAAGTTCACAATCGAAATGAAATTCACGTTTTTTTAATAGAAACTTGAATGTTCCTTCTCGAGATGTGAAAGAATTTATTAAGTTCTTCTCTTGGTATTTAGATTTAAAGAAGAAAACAATATCCTGTTATTGCTATTGTTACAAATATTTTATGAGTTTAGTTTAAATTCACGAATGCAAAAAAATGAATATTGACCGATGTCAACCTTGGTCTCAATTTTTATTATATTATTATGAAAAATAAAATGCAAATAATAAAGAAAAGACTAAAGAAATCTGATTTTTCTGCTTTAAAAATGTTGAAATTTAAATTTTAAATGAAGCCATAATTATTAAAAAAAATTGAATATTTTGAGGCTCAAATATTATAGTTGAAAAGTTGTTTTTGTATTTAGGATAGGACAAAAGGTTTTGATTTTTTTTTGCGTGTGACTTTGCAAAAAAAGTGTTAAGAATCTTAAAATTATCCAAAAATCTTCAAAAAGTCTTTTACCGTGCAAAGTGAATTCTTTAACAACCTTTCTTTCTAGAAGCAACTTTTGGCCTTAAGAGCGCGGTGGCACTTCTAAACAAAATTTCTAAAGAAACAGAAGATAGTGAAAAGTTTTGCTTGAACGGAAAATTGCTTCTGTGTTGCAGGCATGATGGGTATAGAGGCCGAAGAGCGGTGGCGGTCGCGACCGCGCACGTTCCTTTATTGAGCCGCCGAGTGACCTTTGACCCACAGTCCGGATTAGAATGTCCAGCGGTGATGCCCCAGAGACAGTGGATCACCAGGTAAGCTAATTAACAATGACTATTTTAAAATTCATTTTTTCCTTTGAAAAATTAATTAATTTTCCAGTGATTTCTCAAAATCTTGAACAATTTTTTTTTTTAAATGAAGTATATTTATTTAAATTCAACGTTATGATTCGAAAATTTATTGAATGGAAGCCACAAAGTCAATTCCCAGGAATAGATTATTTTTTTCTGGAGTTTGTAAACAAAAGTTGGTAATTTAATGCTTTCCTTTTTTGTTTTGTAAATCAATCAATATACAAGCGAAGCTCTGCAGTTTTTCCGCCAACGTTGAGGGATCAAATTTCTTTTGCCACATTCTGAGAAACGAATATTTTTTTATTTGAATGGTTCAGTGAGAATGTTGACAGATTTGAAAATTACACGTTATTTTCAGAAAAAAAAGCAGATATTCACAGAAAGCAAAAATCTGATAAAAACTGATTAGTAAAAAATAGCAAGGATAATTACTTTTTTGCCGTTCTTGACACAAAAGTGCGAGGTTTTTTAATTGAGCATATTTCTAAATCTTAACATTGAATTAAAAAAATTGAAGACATAAAAATTTGAATTGCTGGAGGGTTAGATTGAAAATCTGATCAATGAAGTAGTTGAAGTAGTGATAAATGTATTTTCAGACATGCATGTCACAAAAAATATTTTCAGAAGTATTTCTTGCTGATTCATGGATTTTATTTGAAAAAGTGCTTTTGTTTGAATCAGAACCTAGAAAAAAGAATTTTTTATGTGTAGCAAAATTCTGAAAGTAACAGGAGAATTTATCTTTTTTACCAAATTTCTCATCCAAGGAAACGTCGCTCGACTTTCTCTTCTTCTCAACAGAGAGACAGACGTTTAATCTGGCTTCCTTCTCAATCTTTTTCGATTTATTCGCCTCTGCAAAAGTTTCGCAAAGCCTCAAGGAAAACAATCTGCGAGCGTGCATGTTAAAAACAAACTTTTGTCCCAACTTTCTTTCTTTAGACTTGTGTGGGTCGAGAAAAGTGAACTGAGAAGTTTGCGCAACTTTTTCAGGCGGAGCTGGGCAGCGGTGTCAGCGTCGAGGACTTGTGGTCGCTGCACAACCTGACCAACGACCCCGAGTACAAATGTCTGCAGGAGGGTCTGCTGGAGGCGGCGCCCACGGACGGCCTCTTCTGCGAACGCAGCTGGGACACGTTGCTGTGCTGGCCGGCCACCCCCGCCGGCCACCTCGCCTCGCAACCCTGCTTCGACGAGCTCAACGGCATCAAATACGACACCTCGCGTGAGTGCTGCATCACTTCTCCTTGTTCCTACTTTTTTTCTCACTTCAACTCTTGGGTCCGAGCCAAAACGTGGAGCGCTTTTTGCTTACTTGCGCGTGAAAATGAGCCCGCAGAGTGGTGCTGACTTTCGTACATGTTCGACGGCAGGGATGTAAAAAGTATGGATGAGATGGAGCCATTTCAAGTTCATCCGTCGAAATGGATCTCGTTTGGCAAATTCATATTAGACTTAAAGTGGAAAATTGCAGATAACATTGAACAAGGGATCCCACGAAAAAAAATTAATACTTTAATTAAATAGATATCCGTTATTTTCTCTTAAAATATTTGCGATTTATCAAAATTTAATTTAAATCTTATTGTTTGAATTGAAAATCTTCAAATAAATTAAGTTGAAGACCAATTGGGGTGGATATCATCGCAAATTGGAAAAATATTTAAACGAAAGAGAAGAAATGAAGGGACAATTAACTGATATTTTAAAGGGTCACTAAACTTTTGATACTTTTCTTATGTTTTTAGCAAAGTATTTAAAGATATTCCTGACTTTTATTCTATTATTATTCATTTTTCATGGAAGAAATAATTGCGCTTGTGTGCTCTCTACACAATCAAGAATCAACTTGCTTGATATCCAAATTTCTTTTTACAACTAAACTTGAAAAGATTTCACTTCTTGCTCTTCTTATTGTTAGAAAAAAGTATATTCCAAACTTCTTGAAAAATATTCCAATCAATTTCTTTTAAAATTTCACAATAAAATTATTGAGAAAATTGATGCCACAAGAATAGAAAGAGCTCCGTTTTTAACCCTTTGCTGCCATTTCAAGTAATTCAAGTAATAGGTTTTAGCTATAAAGTGCCAAAATTCATACTCTCAGCCAATTTTTCTAGTCGTTTTATTTTGCCTGCAGCTAATTTATACCTTTTAAATACTCAAATCAGTTGCAACAATTTAAATTGACATAAATATTACCAATTTTTTAACAGTTTTCTTCCTATTTCCTATTTGTGTAGTTGTGTGCTTTTGCTGCCAACTTGGCAAGTTAATTCGTTCAAGTTTTTGTCATTCAGGCCAAGCACCATGTAAACGAATTACCCTCCTTTAAAAAAAGCCCATGACTCGCTCCATATCTATTTTATGCCAAAGTAAATACAAATTCGGACAGAGGAGGTTTTTCATCCCGTTCCGCCGTACGTCTCTGTCCAGCGGCGGCGCTTCCAAGCAATTTCCTGCGAAAATCCGCCTAATAAATTGGTGCGGCCGGAGTAGCGAAAAGAGTCGCGCATTAATTTCCAAAAATATAGCAATGAGTTAGAAAACCTGCTCGCCGGGTGAAAAGTGAGCCTTGAGAGTAGAAGTGGAAAAAAAGCCGAAAGCGGGCGCGGAAGCGTGAAGGTCGTGAGAGATGAAAAATGCGGCCACGTAGGAAATTGCGGCCGTGATTGTGAGACTGGTGTGGTGTCGCCGCAAAGAGAAATGGAAAGAGAGGAGACGGCCCTCATTTTCCGAGTGTCACATCCAGCTGTCAATATTCGCCTCATGCAATTCTAATGCAAACATAAAAAAAATTCCGTATACCTTTATATGTAAAAAGCATTTCTTTCATATAGAAAAATCTTATTTTTAAAAAAAAGTCTAGCTTATTTTGATCCCAGGTAAAAATTATTACACCAATATTTTGCGAATTGTTTCATTTGGAACTTATTTATTTTCCCTGCGTAAATATTGAATTATCAAAGTTGAGTGAACGGTGCTAATTGATGGTAAATATACAGAAGGAAATTTGCCAATAATTTCCGCATTTGATCATTAATTTTTTGTGCTTCCCACTTTCTATTTGAGGAAGTAGAAATCCATTTACTAAAGGAATATTATTTTGACGAGTCTTTTGAAACAACATAATGGGTATAATTTTTAATAATTATGACAAGGAAAAACGTATTTATCACGTTTTTCATCTTGCGAAATGTGGGCAATTATTAATTAATGCTTCAGTCTTGAAATTATGAGTGAAATAAAATTATTTATATAATTGAAAACAACTGAGAGCAGCAAAAAGCTATCAAAAGCTGAAAATATTCTTTTTTTAAATTAAATCAGATAATTTTAATTTTTCCGCACAAACTAGTGGAAATGTGAATTAACGTTTTTACCTGAACAATTGAAATGTTTCCTAGTTAACAATAAGATCTTACAATTAAACCTTGCTTTTATATTTCGATCTTTTTTTTAGCTAATTTTTATTTTTAAATAATGACTCATAATAACGTAGGTTTTCAAATACTAAAATAAAATTCAATATCGATTAATTTCTTTCCCATGCGTTGGCGTTTACCCTTCCAAATTTTGAACTTTGACCAAAAAAATACTGTTTTTTTTTCTTCCAACCCCTGAAGCCCATATCTATTCTAGGCTTATGCAAGTCCTTGGGCGTGTGTTTGTATGTTAATCGTGACCCCGCGTGCCGACGAACGGAAATTAATTGATGCGCGTCCAAGCACAACTGACGTGCACTTGGCACCTCATGAGTGATTAGTCCTCCCTTGCAACGTTCAATCGCAGCAATCGTCTAATCATCCACGGCGGACCAATTATTTTCTAATTACAGGGATAATGCCGCATCCCGCTCAATAATCTGCAGCACCTGACTGTTCGCCAGCAAAAACTTTAATTAACTATCAGCAAATTAGTGTCGTGCCCTACATTGCAAATAAAAATATTTTAAAACGCATTTCATTCTAAAATAAACAAATAATCACATTTTTTGTATACCGTTGGTATTTTTAATAAAAAGAATTAAAATTAAAAAATAATTCTGACACATCCTCCCTTGATAATAGTGGAGCTACTCACAAGAAAGTAAAATTGGCTGAAGCTCCCCATTGTTTATGAAATATAAATCGACTTCAATCAATAAATCATAACGACGCGGAGCACGTCGCTCTCTGTTCTCAAAAATTGGACCCAATTTGCGACGCCCCCTCACTTTAGCCTCTCACGTTTCAAATCAATAGCAGCAAAACCAGCTTCCCCCGTTCGGCAATAAATTCAACTTTTTTCTACAAAAATTAATCACTTCCGACGTCCGGCGCGTACCAGTTTTTTTTCCACTTTTTGCACCGCAAGAGAAGTGATACATTCAGCTGCTGGGCGGAGTAAAAAAAAATAACTCGGCAATAAAACGGACTGGGCGCGGACGAGGCGCGGGTGAGTGATGATGATCGCCGAGCGCGCGCGTTTTGTGTTTTTAGTGCAATCCGAGCCGCGCTTCGGGGCCTTGCGCTTTCATCCTTCATCCCTCTCGTTACTGTGAGCACCGTTTGAGCACAAATGATGCGGAGAGTGATGGCATGATAACGCTGCAATGCAAAATTTTTATCAAAGTTTCTCTAATTATTAATTATAATTGCTATAACGTAATGTACAAGAAGACAGCAGCAGAAAATAGCGCATACTCATAGAACTTAGATGAGTGCAATATAATGTCTAGATTAAATTTATTTAAAAAAATTTGTTAGATTAGCAAAATAATTTTGCAAGATAATTTAATGATTAATTATTATTAATATCAATTATATTGAAAATAATGATATAAAATAATAAATAAATAATAAATAAAATAATAATATAAAATAATAAATAAATAATAAATAAAAATATAATATAAAAATATAATATAAAAATAAACGCTTTTTTATAAATACTTCTAAAGACCATATAAATTTTAAATTTTTTTATCTTTCATTATTTAATTAATACTGGCACAATTTTTAAAGATTACATGGTTGTTTTTAAATAATGCAAATATTATAATAAAATATTAAAATTTTTCACATTAGTTGATTACTAAATAAGTTTGAAATTATTGTTCCGTCACTCTAACGATAAGATAAATTTGTTTTAATTTAACTAATGGTATAAATTTTGCTTCCTTTCCATAAAAAAATTTAACAACATATTGAAATTTAGGAGAAAAGGGGCTTTAAATAAAAGTTTTTATATTTACTGGGAGAAATGTGAATAGAATTCGCTCCCTTCGAAAAGTTGCTCGCGGCCGGTGATCGATGACTTTTTCCGAAGCTGCATTGATAATTTTTCGCTCGGCGAGGAAGAGGAAGCGCGAGAGGTTAATCTTGCGCAAAGGTGAAATATAGGAGCGATTGCGAGTTTGTGTGTGTGTGCGTGTCTGCTCTCACAATTGATCTTATTTGCTCCGGCAACACGGTGGGAAATAAATTTCGCACACACCACCCACTCTGGCTGCGTCGATGCTCGCTGATATGGTTTATGCGGAGTACAAGTTGAGTGCCGGCTGTCAGAAAAAGAAGAAGCATCCGAGATTGCGACACGACGCGCGGAGGTGATTTCTCTGCTGTCGAAGCGGAAAAAATGGAAATTACATTTTCCCCACCGGCTTCTCTCTCTCTCGCAAACGTGGATGAAATTTTTCATCTGCCACACGTGCAAATATAAGAGAAGCCAATCAAGGTAGTACAAAATTACGGGAACCCAGTATATTGCCAGAAAAAAAGGAATATAATCCGAGCTATTAATTTTTTTTATAAATTAAAAAACAGCAATTTTTTAGTAAAAGTTTGATCTTTCCAAATTGTATCCACATCAAATTATTTCTCACGCTCATTTTTTTTTTTAATAACAACCAGTGCTCTGCCTTCAAAGGAGTTTTAGAAAATTTATAAAAAGAAAAGTTATCAAATTAAATTTGAAAAACTAAACAGATTGTGCGCAAATCAAATTAAAAAGGTGCAAAAAATTTCTATATATAATCTTAATTTTCTGGCAAATCGTGGCGACCCGAAATTACTACTTGCAGCGTGTTGAAAATCAATGCGGACGAGATTTATTATTACAGCAAACAGCAGCTGGCAAGGGCGGATTGAGTTTCCGCCTCTCATTTTTCAGCGCAATTTTTCGCGTCCCGGCCTTTTAATTTGGCCGTGTATGATGAAAGACCCACCCGGTCTCTCATTAAAT